GCTCCTATTTTGAGGAAGTGACAACTCAAGAAGAGCCACACTTCTAAGTTTCTGGCCCCAAGTCTTTTGGGAACCTTTCCCACCCATCTGCAGCTCTTCTCAGCTTTGGTGCCGGTTTTTTATCCTACCTGAGATTTATGTAAGTGTGTCAGACTGGCACATGCAGACTGTCGGATCTGATGCCCATATACAAGGGAAAACTTATTTCCTGTCTGTGACACCCTTTCATTCCTCATAACACAGCACTTAGAAATATCTGTGAGCTGTCTTTGGCATGGAAGGAAAAGGAACAAACTCAAATTTTTTTGTTCACCCAGCAAATAACTCTTGAGCTTCTCCTGGGTAGTGTAGCCTGCACCAGGTGTGGCAGATGTGTAGAGAGTCCACACAGGGGCTCTGCCCTTGGGGAGCTAACACAAAATGAGGTGTCCACCTTCCTGGTGAGTAAAGCTTTTTCTGCCCAGGAAATCTGCAGAATCCTTGGGAGTAGGGCCTTGAGGACACAATTTTGCTCCTCCTAGGGAGTGAATCATAGAAGCTCTGCCAGCTGTGATTCTGCCCCTCCATCCCACCTCCTCACACATCTCCTGGCATTTTTCTGCAATCTTCTCAGAGTCCAAGCTGGAGAAGCTGGTGCTACATTTTGTAAATCTATGAGGTATGGACTTTAGGGTTACTTTGAAATCTCAAACAGTCATTCCAATTTACCACTCTATTATATTTGGATACTCTCAACTCACAAATATAAAGCCAAAACAAGCCAAAACTCAGAGAGACAGACATGATGTCAAGTGACTCACCAGTAGCACAGCCAGAACAAGGTTTCCAATTACCTGCCTACCTAGTCCCTATGTTCTCTTCACCTCACTGGTTCTGCCCAGAAATCTTCGTTTTGTCAGTTTTTTCTGCACATAGCCAGGCAACGTTGTGGCAAACCCAGGATTGCTAACCCCTAGCTCTGGCTCTTCACCGTTAAGAGTTGAATGTTCCTGTAAGTAGAAATGTGCCATCCCTCTCAGGTGGTAACCTTGACATGTCAGAATACCCTTCATCCAGGTTAGGAACCCCTCAAAGAGATATGAATGACATGGGAGTAAGTCAGGGGCCAAATGTGGAATAGGTTCCTATGCTTCAGTTTCTCAGGTGGAAGCGGCAGTGAGGTTTTGGCAGGTTGAGTTGCAGGGCGAGCTGTACAAACAGGACAGTGTCAATACCTTTCTAGGACTGCAGCTGATAAACTGGGACAGCCGCAATATTTCCTAAGCAAACTAGGTTACCCTCCCTGCTGCTGCAGCTACCCGAGGGCCTTGGGCAGCTGGGTGACCCAGAAATGGTCATCTCCTTGGCCAGCTCCATCTGGGACTCCATCCCCCAATTCCGGGGCATGAACAACTTCTAGGTGGAAACAGCTTGACAACATCAAACAGAATCAAGCCCATTCTTGTTGCAGGAAGCTTATCCCAAACAATAAGGGGGAAAAGGCATTGGAGTGTCTACAAGGCAGAATTAGGAAACAAAATAGCATAAGTCTTCCCCATCTACTTTTATGTTTTCTAGTCTAAAGAAGCAAAATAATTGTAAGAAAATGTGGCATGTTTTTTAAAAAGCCTTGATGTTAAGAGACATTGATTTGTGGTGCTAAACTTGGAGAAATTACTCCCTTTCTGGGATTAACTTTCTCAGTGGGACAATAAAGGGGTTGTGTAGATGGTCTCTAAGAGTCATCCCTGCTCTGAAAGTCTATGATTATATATGATGTCTAGCTAACAATGCCAAGAAAAAAAGAATCCAAAGGGGAAGAGCCACTATCTAAAATGTCCCTTTCCCATCCCCAAAGACTTGATGATCTAATGATTAAAAGTCCTCATGAAGCATAATTGTAACCCTCAAATAGGGCACTGAAGGTAGCTTAGGTCTGGTGCCTTCTCTCCTCCCTTCCAGAGGTAGGTAAGTCCTGGGTACATTCATTTGTATGTTGTATAGTGTTTTGACTTCTGAGAATGGGGCCTCAACAGTCAGTGAATCCTACACCCATAGAGTACTCTTGGATTAAGCATATTTACTCAATCATTCATAATGATATGGATCCCCATTGGTCAGTGCCCCAGCTTTCCCCATCTTGAACTGTCTGTTTCTATTAGTTGGATGCAGAGTGGGAGATGTACAGGGGATATTTCCTCAATGTAAAATGAGCATGATGAGAAGTCTTTGGATCCAAACCTCTGTGTGGAACATCCTTGGCCATCCTATAGGCTCAGTCTAGCCACCCATAAGTTCATTGAACTACTTATGCTAAGAATATAGGCCATGCTTCTTTTCCTGGCATCCCAGACTGGAGGGCTTCCTTGTAAGTAGCAAGTAGCCCCTGGCTCAACTTACATCCCCATCAGGGTAGGACTTTTAGGGAAATAATCTATGATAGTGAAATTCCAGAATAAACTAGATGGTAGGAAGAATATCTTCCCATAAAAGTAAAGCTTCAATGCCGTTTTTCTTACATAAACTACCTACTTATTAGTATCAGTGCCCAACTGTGTCCTTGCTCTTACACCCTGTGGACATTGTGACCCCTTGAAATGGAGCAAGAGGAGCCCTAGAGTTGGAATGCACCTAAAATGTATAAGGAAACCATTTGTTAGGGATCAATGTTCAATTAAGTGGTGTTAAGGATATATGAATCTAAAAGCCAAGTATTTAAAATCTGGGATACAGGGTCAGAAACCAGAGAAGTAATTATCTCACTTCTAAATCCACCCAAGACAAGGAATTGTTGCTGGGTCTTATGCCAGGGAACACACACTAATCTGGAACAGCCTGACTGTATCCTGCATTAGTGTGATTTGGAAAGAACACCATGATTGGGTTTGTGGTGCTCACTAGCAAGCTACTTCACTTCCCTGATGGCCAGTTTCCCATCAGAGAAGTGCGAAGGTATTACCAACACACTCTCTAGGTTTCTATGTTAGAGAGGCCTCAGGACTCTTCTAAGAATAAGAACGAGCTCAGTCTCCTTCGTTGGTGAGATCTTGGCCAGCAGTGAGAGCTGTAGATCTAATGTAGTTCCAATGACACTGAAGGGAAGAACTACTATATAACTTGTGAGAAAAAAAGTTGAAATTCTTCCATTTAGATTTATTCCAGAAGCATAACATACACATATACACATAATTTTATTAAATTGAAAAAATGTAGCCAAGCATGATGGCACACACCTATAATTCCAGCACTTGGGAAGCTGAGACAGGAGGATCACAAGTTCTAGTTCCACCTGGGCAACTTAGTGAGACTGTATCTCAAAACAGAAAATATAAAAGGACTGGGGATGTAGTTCCATGAAAAGTCTTTGGGATCAATTTCCCCAGTAGCAAAAAATAAACAAACATACATAGACAAATAAATAGGCATATATTTTAATAAGTGAAAAATTATTCACTCTTTTTTAGGGTCAGATTTACAGCTTTGGGGTCAGATTCCTTTGTCATTTACTAGCTCTGGAACCTCAGTGTGGCCTTTTAATGCCACTAAGCCTCAGTTTCTTCATCAAATAGAGATCATAAAAACTCTGTTGAGGGACAGATGTGGGCCATAGTTATAAGAGTATGTTCAGCATGTTGGTTAGGAAATTGGGTGGTAGATTTGGCTGTGTGAGAGCAGTTTGTCAGCACCATGGCCCCTGTGCGGGTCCCTAACCTCAATGCACTTCAGTCCCACAGTCCATAAAGAGAGAAATCATAGTCCTGTCCCCGTAAGGTGAGGCAGCGAAAGTGCAGTTTTGCAGCTAGATTTGTGTGTGTTGCGGGGCTTGGGGGTGCTGCAGAGCTTGAGCTTGTTTAACCCCTGCAGAAGCCCAGGTAGCTTTTCTTAGCCTTCTCAGGGCTTGGTTTCTGCACCCCTAGAACAGGAAAGGTTCCGTCTTGCACCCATCTCGCAGAGCCTGTTAAGATATAAGTCATATGTGCATGTATACGAATTGCTTGCCAGTTATGTAGTAAACACTTGTGTGCATGTGTTTGGTAAAGCATGAAGCAATCAACAAATGTTTATTTAAAAACTATGTGAACAAAACTACAATTAATGAAGCAGACTTTCTTTCGTGGAACTTATATTTTTGAGGAGAGACAGGCGATACACAGATAATCGATATGAGCTAGATCAGTAGAGGAATGTCTGATGGAGTAGAAACAGATAAGGCGGGGAAGGGAAGGTGGAGAGTGGAGGAGCTTTTAGATGGGCCACCTCCAGGGAGGTGAGATTTTCCATGAAGAGCCGCCTGAAGTGAGGGAAGCATCCTGAGAACATTTGGGCCCAGTGTTCCTGGCACAGAGAACCACAGTGAATTTCAGGGCCTCTGTGCTCAAATATGCTTCTGCTAATAATAATACTGATGATGGTGGTGGTGGTAGTAATGGTAACAGTGATAAAAATAATTTTTTAATAAAGAGTGCTCAGTGGATTATTTTAGGAGATAATACAAGCATACTTTCTCACCTTAGTCTTTAAGTTATTATAGTCAGGATGTGTTTTAAGTTGCAATGGGCTGTGTTCAAAGAGGGTATATAGAAAGGAAGGCAGGATTCCCCGCATTAAATGCTGTCTGTCTAGCTAGTGGTCCCTGGTGCAGCCTCCTCCAGCTGTCCCTCAGCAGACCTAAGAAGACACAGAGAGTTACAGCTGGGCTACTCACTACAGACACTGTGAGTCAACCTGCTATCAGAATCTAGGAGAGATTTGCACTCATTCCAACGCTGTATGAGCTGGATTTTTAAACATGTAAATTGGTGCCAAGTTTGTGGAATTAATATATGTAGGATTATCAGCCACTGTTATCTCAGCACCTGTCTAATGGCTAAGACATTATAGTTTCTAGATAAAATGAACATCTATACTCTGTCCAGTTGATAAGTTTTTGGCCTGTACTTCCTGACTGTTCTCTGTAAACTGTAGGAAACAGGAAAGGGCAGGTACAAAAACATGGGTGATGGCACAAGCATCTTGGGAGGTACAGTCTACACACATGTAAAAGATTTGGGGTGGGGGTGCAGTTAAGAAGAACCTTGGAACAAATATGCTCACATTACGGCTTTTATTGTACTGTTTTCATTAATGAAGTTTGAGAGAACCAATTAGTGGGGACGGGAGGAAATCCCATCGTGCTTTCGCCAAACCAGCTGTTCTGGTCTGGATTCTTGGGTGCTGTAGAGTAGAGAAAGACAACTTAAAACAGGTTATGGAAAGGAAGATATATTGGCTTATTGTGTTTAATGTATTCAGACACAGCTGGATCAAAGCACTCCAGTGATCTCTCCCCCTCTCTCTACCTCTCCTTCTCTCTCTCCCTTTCCATCCCCTTCTCCCTCTCTGTCTCTCTGTCTCTGCTTCTGCTTCTCCCTCTCTCTCTCTTTCCTCTGGCAATTCCCAACTAGCATCATTCCTGTACGTCAATAGCCCAAAGAAAAATGAAACCTTTCCGTTTATTTCCAGAAAATGTTCCAAGATTCTGGTTGCTGACCTGTCTTAGATTTAACTAGAGCTAAACCAGCTTCAGGAGAATGGGGTTCTCTGTCTGGCCGACCATGGTTCTATGGTCACCATTCAGGAGACTGGGGAGGAGGAACCAACTCCATCTAAACAACCTGCAATACACAGAATTGGTGTGGAAAGGGTATCATCATCCCCTAAGATTCAAATTCATGTCCCTTCCACCTGGGCTAGATGATGCCAGAGCCAATAAAAGAACTGCACCATAAGTTAAGCAGTTAAGCACCATAAGGATGACAGGTTGAGAGTGCTTCTTGGAATTCTGAGGGTAGCACTAGAGAGAGAAGAGGGAGGGAGAGAAGGAAGATCACAAACAGAAAAAGACGGGAAAGACTGGAATTAGAGGTGCTCCCAAAGAAAATCCATAGCACTCCTTGAAAAGTTATAATCAAAGATACATACAAGTCACCTTTCCCGAGTTTATGTATGGTCCAGTTAAAAGAATGTTCCTTATTGTGGAAAAAATCAGAAAGAAAAAGACTCCAGTTCCACATTCTTGTCTAGATTACCAGCATACATGGGCAAAAGAAAAAATTTAGTAAGCAGTCAAATCATTTAAGATGATTGAAAATTATTGTCTATCCAAAGTGATGAAATTTAGTCTGGGCTTGATCTTCTGTCTAGTCAAGGGCCAGAGACAGTGGGGATGTGGTCTATAGTTCTGAATGTTTATGAGTCCAGGTCTTTTACACCAAGGTAAATCGTTTTGCAAATAGAAGCAACATGAAGTTGTTCTTGGATATGGGTGGTCTGGGAAAATGGCAGATTGGAAGTCGGAGGTGACCAGCTGTTAATGGGAGGGTGTGTTTTGCGCATAAGAACTGGCTGGCTGTCCTTGAGGTGAGGGGAAGAGTCCCAGGTCCGTGAGTCTTATATGCATGGTATCCTTACCTAGGCTAACTTAGCAGCATCCCAGGCATGTGGAGTTGACTTTCCTCTCCCCATGGCATCTGGAGGAAGCTGAAAAGGCAAGGATTTCATAATTTGTTATTATCTGGCTGACTCTGTAATTGAACATAATATATTCCTTTGCAAAAGCTTCTTCCTCAGAAGACTAGAGGCCAAAAGAGACAACAAAAACTAACCATGACATTTATTGCCTGCCTGCGCTCAGCTGGACCCTGTGCTAAATGCTTCATGTAAGTTATCTCAGGTAAATTTTTCCATTGAATTCTGAAGTCCAATTAGTAGGATTTAGAATGACATTTAAAGGAAAAAAGTGCAAAGCCTACTTCTTTTATTCTTGAGAGTTAAGCCTATGGGTGATTTCTTCCTCTTTTCAGTCGTCTATCTATTCCTATTTTTAATAACCACGTACTGTATTACTTTTTAAATGAAAAGAGACAATGCACAGCTAAAATAGAAAAGATGGCATGAGGAACTAAGTGCATGGATCACAGCATGCACGTGCACATGCCCACATCCAGCTCAGCACCCCCTTCTGCTTCCTCCCTCACACACAAGCTTTCCTTCTTCCTTTTCCTCTCATCTTTTTCTGTTCCAGAACTCTTGTACACAAAGTTCCTGTGCTCTTAGTTTCTCTGTAATGTCTCCTTCCCTCCTATCCCCTCCCTTCTCCTCCCTTCTCCTCTCCCTCAAACACACACACACACACACACACACACACAGCCCTTAGGTCGCTTCCTTAGTCCCCTCTTTTTCCCTATTCAGCTGTTTCTCACACACACAAACCTCTACTCTTGTTGTCATCTCTCAGCCTCCTTCCTCTGATCCTCCCAGCTCTGCACACAAGTACAAGCCTTCAGTGGCTCCTTCTCCACTCTGTGTGTCTTTCATTCACAGACACACTGCCAGGCTGACCTCAGTCACTTCCTTTCTTCTCTCCATTCCCCTAATCATCCATCTTCCTCTGCCTCCCTCCCTTCCTTCCTTCCTCAGGAAAGCACACACACTCTCGTTGATGAGTTGTGCACACTTACAACCACAGGAGTTATGGATTCATTTATCTAAGCCCTGCTATCCTCCCCCCACCTCTCTTGAAAAGTGAAGACAAGTGAGAATCCTAATTAAAATGTTACCCATCTCATTGGCGCAAACAGACAGAAGCACCCAGGCTGGAGAAAAATGGAAAGACAATAAAATGTTTACCTTCCCCCAGCTGGATGAGTCATCTGTGGGCTTTTTCTGGTTTCACACCAGCTCTCTGACACTCTGGGTACCGTAGACTGGGGACAATTTCCTTTTTGTCCATCCCTCTGGGTAAAATGATGAATTCTTTATCTGGACACTCAGGAATAAACATGCACTGTAAGCAGGACTTGGCTCAAATCCAAGGACTCCCAAAACTTTTGAAAAGGCTCCTTTGTTCTTTGTCACTTGTAAAATAAACATATCCCTGGCATCTCCTGCCTCCCATGACGCAGGGTGGGTATGGGCCATATTTGATGGAAGAGAGAGAAAGCCTCCAGACTGCCTTCTTTGCTCCTGCCCAAGTTTGTTTTCCTTCCCAGTTTGTACAAACTGGACTCCCTGAAATTCACTTGGGAGCTGGCTTCCCCTGGTTTAGAGGGTTTTAAACTGAAATGGATATGTTACACCCACACAGTCCTTGGTGACGCCTTCATGTTGTCACATCAGTGTTAACCCACTGTAATTGCTTAAGAAAAATCATGAATATTTGATTGGAGACTTTGATGGAGTAGCCCATCACATGATATTCCATAGGAAACTTTTCTAGCCCCTGGCTCTGATGCTTGCAGGAATGTTTGGTGCTGTTGTCTCTTGAATGGTTAAGGTGGAAGTCTGACTGCTAGTGTTGTGCTCAGAAGAGCCCATGTCCAGATGAGACGGCAATTGCAGGAGTCCTGTGAGGGACAGGACCTGCCTGTCAGCAGCTGACCAGGCATGGCTTGCTTCTTGGTGTGCCACCAGTGTGATGGGGACACTGCAGGAATGGCTTTCTTGTAGTGTCACATGGGGACTCAGGACTGGACCTGCTTTACAAAGAATATTTATACTTGATAGTCTGATGTTCAGGATGGCAGGATAGGTGGGCTTCTCTGGTCCATGTGGAAAAGTCTTCTGAGGGTCAAAGGATTAGAGAGTGCGGCACAATGAGAAATATATATTTTGTCTTCATCCTTGGTTCCTAGCATAGAGCTCCTAACTCCCTTGGAATTTCCTAGATGGTAGGGGCATCTCTTGTTCTCAGGAGGTTACTTTTAGTGAGCCTCTAGATAGCCTCAAGATGGAGGCTAGAAATGAGATGCACCAAGCCTCAATGAGAGGCCTGGAAATTTCAACCCCAACCTCTAACCTTCAGAGACAGGATAGGGGTCAAAGATTCAATTAACTCTTGTGCCTATGTGATGAAACTTCTGTAAAACCCCAGATAGTGGGATTCAGAGAGCTTCTAAGTTGGTAAACACATGGAAGTGTTGGGAGGGGTCATGGAAACCCCACACCTTCCCCCCTCTGCTGTTCCTGAGTCATGCCCTTTACAATAAACTGATAACAGTAAGTAGAATGTGTTCCTGAGTTCTGTGAGTCATCCTAGCAGGTTACTGAGTCAGGAGAGGGGATCCTAGAAATTCCCCCTTTAAAGCCAGTTGGCCCAAAGCATAGGAGGCCAGAGATATGCAACTGGAGTTTCAAGAAGAAGTCAGTTGTATGGGACTGAGGCTCTGAGCTGTGGCATTTGCCCTAACTGCAGGTAGTTAGTATCGGGATTAAATTGAATTGTTAAACACCCCGTTGCTGTTTGGAAAGTTGAAAATTGGTTGGTGTGGGAAAAAATTACACACATTTGTTCTCAGAAGTATGAGTGAAAGCAACAGCTTATTTAGAGTACACAAGCCTTGGATCTGAAAATCATGGCCCATATCACACTTTCAGGTGACCATCTTCCTTGAATTTGGCCATGTTCTGAGCAGGTTCTCCACCATGGTATAGGTGACTACAGCACAGTATATCTATCTCTGCCTTCCAGGAGTGCACTAGATGTGCAGGTCTAGGTTTTAGGTTTGATGCCAGAACAAAGCTGGACTGCTGGCTGGGTCTCACTGTCCTTATAGATCAGAAATGCCCAGTTTGGTAAGGCAGCATTGTGTATGGTGCCATTGGGGGACTAGGATGATCCTTAGAAGCCTAGCTCTTAGTTCTTGAAGCATCATTTCAGCTCACTGCTCTGAGTAGGTGGTGATGGAATACTGGCCTTGGCCCAGCTGTTAGCTGCTGGATTGTTAAACTTTTACTCAGAGGTGGTGACAGGTGGCACTTTACTATCTTCTCTTAGGACCCCAGCAACTCAGAAACAGTGATGCTTTTGTAACTCACCAGTTGGCCCTACCTCTAGGCTCCCACAGCTCTGTCCAGCTGTCTGCTAGAGAACACATTACGTGGTGCACATCTCTATTTAGATGCCTGCTGCTCCCTCGGAGTTCTATTTCTGAGCCTCACAAAGTGCCAGCAGCATAGGGTCAGTGAACTAGTGGATGAGTAAGTCAATGTATGAGAATTCGCCTTCTCCGTGCTTACATTTGAGGTCATGTAGCACTCAGAGCAAGAGACCTTAGTGCTGCAGCTGAGCTCCTCAACATCCAGGCCTTTGAAGACAAGAAGAATGGAACAAGGCTTCAGTGGTACAGAATCCATGCAACCTCCCTTTGACTTCTGGGAAGGGTTCTTGTGGCAGGGACCTAAAGTCAAAACATAATTCCCTCCCAAGGAAAATGGAATCTTACCCACAAATTACCAAGTAGTAATTTCACTGGCAAGCACAGGGGAAAAGGGGGCACATTTCTCTGATGTCACCATTCATCAGTGTGGCAACCTTAAGTATGGCATACAATCTCTTGGAAATTCCTCTTCCTTAATTTGTAGATTGGGGGGTTGCAGTATGTTTACCAGAACAGCCTGGCTTGGAGGTTCAAATGAGATAATCAAATGGAACTTATAAAATCGTAAAGTGCTATGAAACATTAGCTAACTCCATATGTTTCTTTATTTATAACTTTGGCCCTTAGAGATATACTTTTGCCTAAGTAACCTTAATGTGGGTGAGAGATAGAGAGAGGGTTCTGGGAGCTTTATTGGGCACAAGAAAAGCTGTCCTGAGGAGAGGGTGAAAAGAATCAGGCACACTGGAGAGTTCAGATGCTAATGTCACCAACGTGGCCTGGGACACTTTCCCAGAGACTTCACTATTGGGCTGATATAGATATAGATACAGATATAAATATAGATATAGATATAGACATGTCCTCCAATTCCCCTGCCACCCAAGCAGTCAACCCTTGCTCTAACCCTGTGATGAAGCTTATCTGAATCATACCTGGGCCTTGCAAAGTCCAATGAGGAGAGTGGGCTGAGGGAGAAGCCATGATGCCCCTTCCTTTCCCCCATTTTGCCTGTGTTAGGACAGAATCCAAGCCGTGAGCACAGCCTTTCCCTAACCATCTCTGAGGAACATCGTGCAATTAAAGGCCTGACAGATGCCATCTGTCCTGTCCTTCCTGAGTTGCCCAGGGCACAGGGATTCAGAGCTGGCACATTGTGATACTCCACAGTGCTCATGTCACCTCTGATTTCCTCCAGAAAGTCATTAAGCAGACCTGTATGGGAGCTGCTCCAGTGTCTTCAAACCCCTCCAGGGCAGGCAGCACAGAGGTGGTGAGCTCACATTAGGATTCCACAAGTTCAAGGTAGTTGGAGTCTGTATGAGGTGAGACAGTAAAGTCAGGCAAGGGTGAGCTGAATTTAAACCCCAAATAGAATCATTTTCTCTTTCCTTTTTGGCTCCCTTGATCTAATATCGAACCTTCAATTTTCCTTAGGATCCCAGAATTGCCAACAGTATAGAATGTTTATTAGTTTAGGTTTTCCAAAATGCAGAGACTAAAACAAGACTTGGCTGCAAGTAGTTTATTTGGGAGAGAATCCAAGGAGCAGAAGTAATGGAGTATGAAGCATATGACAGAACAAGAGCGAAGGCCAGTCAGAGAAAGAATGGACAAGTTGGTTGTCACTGCAAGAATTCAGCCCCTCTGGGGACCCTCTGGTACCAAGTAACATGTCTCTCAGGATTGTCGCATCGGAGACTGGGTCATTGAGCCACCTGTCCCCGTAACTCTATCGTATTAGTTCCCTTGCACATCCAGCTTGCATCTGCGTATGGTTCGGCAGAAATCCTGACCACTTGATATGGGAGTCTGCCAGCTTGCAGAGAACTAGCTGTCCTAGCTGTGCTAAAATCAGGGCATAGAGGATGGATGTGAAGTGGTGGATCATTAGTATCCACTAACAGCCATCCAGAATATGTGGGAAAGATAGTCTCCCCACTGAGGCACAATGAAGAAGCAGGGATATGGACTCCCTTGATCCTCTGACAGACATGTCCTTTTCCTTTAAGAATCAGCTCATAAATCATCTGTCCCAGCATAGCTTTTCTTGGGCACATGTAATAAGTTACCTCTGGAATATTTGGCTCTAAAAACCATAGTGCATTACTCTCTCATTGCTTATTTGCTGTCTTCCTTACCAGATCTGAGTCTCTAGAGGACAAAGAACTGTGGCTGCTTCACCTTTGCGTATCTAGCAAGCTACCTAACATATAATGATTGCTGGTTAATTGTTTATTTATTCATTCATACATTCGACAGAAATGCCAAGTTTAGAAAGTACATTTACTTGTTGCCATTGCTTTCAGTTGAGCAGGGAAGTAGCAAATCCCAGGTTTTAGGAGGTCTTGGAAAACAAGTGATTAGAAGCTCAAGGGGCAGTGATGGCCCAAGAAGTGATGGAAGCTTGTTACCAGGATATAGGTAGGAACAATCTAGACCTCTATTGAGGGAGAATCTCCTGGACACAGCAACTGACTGGATAAGGTCAGTGTCATGGGGTGAAGCACACAGAAGCATCATATTCAGCAGCTGCACATGCACTAGATGGGGACTTAACATCCATCTGCTATTGAGAATGTGAGACTACCATCATCTCCCCAGGAGAAAGCTACACAACAATTTGAGCCTCTACCCCTAAAGTGATTGACGGGGGAATAGAGGGGAGGCAACCTGGAGTGTATATCCTAGAGTCATCTCCTGCTAAGCAAGTCCTTTAACAGCAGAAAGTGTTTTTTTATCAGGAGGTCTGTCAGTATACTTGGTCATCCTGTGATTCATAGTTCAAGATGATTTTGAATTTTAGCCAACTATCTTGCTCCCATAATAATTATTGAGGCTGCACAGATGCATGGAAAAAAGATTGTGTTTCTTAAATTATTGAAAAACAAGAAATGACCTAAATGTATAATGGTAGAGGATTATTGAATGATTGAATAATATATACAAAACCACCAACACCCATGTATATGTTATCTGCAACATTGTTTAAGATAAGGAAGAACTGTGAGTAAAATATATGCTCAACAATAAGGGATTCACTGAAAGAAATGTGGTGTTGTCCTACATCCATATAGTAGAAAACTGTGAGGCCATAAATTGCCTCTCGCTCATGAAATATGACGTTGCTGATGTGTGTTGATGTGGCGATTTGTTT